GGCCCGTTCAGACCTTCCGAAGCACCTGCCTCTGTAGGCAACGCTTCCTGAGCAAATTTAAGTCGGCTTTCTGCTTTCTAAGGTGGGACGCAACGGGTAAACACCTTGACACAGACAGGAGTTCAGGGAATGTACATCGAAGATCACAGATCTCGGAGGGCCCGCCTTCCTGCAGAGGAACTCGTCCAGGGACTCCAACATTAGCTATCTCTTATTGCAATTCAAAATAATGACATCTAAATGTACATCTTTGGATGCTTCCACTGCCTCACCTGAGGAAAACCCTGGTTCATGACTCAGGACCACCTTCACTCTCTCGCAATCATCACGACCGCCTACAACTCTTCCAAACACTTTTTAAAGCTGAACCCCAGTTCCACTGCCTTCTGAACGTCTCTTCATTTTCTGCCGAGGTGACCGCGTCCTCTGACCCATGACACTTACTGTCTGCTTTGAGATTGTTTCGCAATCTTGCTTTTCTCCATTGACTTAATCATAAGGCCGTGGGCGAAGGAGACAAACTCCATCTTGCTCACTGTCCCCTTCCCTACAGTGTCTCTCATGTATCCATTTTCCATGGACTGAGCTCGTGGGGTCTAACTCAAACGTGTATGTACACGTGAGGGTGAAGAACAGGGATTTGGCGCATATCACCCCATTCATGGTACATTTTCCTTGTACTTCACAGGAAGTTATTTCTCACAACCAATCCCAGACTTGTTTTTAGGTAGGCTTAACTTTTTGATGATTTGTTTGTTTCCTTCGGAGGTTTTTAATGTATGGAGATTTATCAGTGAAACTAATCTCTTTTGGGCTAAGAATGAGCGTTATCCACGCAATCTTAAAGGGAGCTGTAATGTTTTATGGTGAACCACTTCCTTGCCTGACCTCCTTTAAGGCATGTGATAGTGATTTTACTAATCTAATCTGTCAGCACCTCCAACACTCTGCTGGTCACTAGAGGGTTTTGAAATCAACTGACTGAGAGAGCAAACAGCAAAAAACTGAAAATAACCTCTTGCCACTAGAAACCCCCAGAAAGGCCGTAGCTCCTGTAAAAGCTATGTCAAACCCAGGCTTTCCCCTCATTAAAGTCTTGGCTGTTTCCTCAGCTGCAGCTGGGCAGGGTTGGAGACGGGGAGGACCCCATGACAAGCAAGCTGCCACGCTCCAAAGGCTCTGTGTTCTTCAAGATAATCCCCTCAAATGATTTTCCTCTAACCATTTCCACCTCCTGTCAGTTCGGGGTTGCTCAAACTATCCTCTTTCCCATGTGGCCTTCAAGATGTTTGCCTTTTCTGTGCGCCTCTTGTACTAATTTTTACCTAATTGCTTTTTTAAAGTCTTTTCTTTTTTTACCTAAGTAAAGCTTCACTTTAGTCCCTCCCCTCACCCCTGCCGCCTCACCCAAAGATCTATAGAGTAGGGGGACCTAGGCCTTCCTGAGTCCACTACCGCTGCCCTTAGACCCTCACCACCACGGCCGCAAAGGGGACTCTGTAAACAGTGGCAGAATGAGTCACCCTGGCAACACCACTAAGGAGACTGCGATCACTTTGCGATCCCTCCTTGCCTAGCCTAGCTTGTAAACGCTTTGAAATCGGTGGCCCTACTGTTATGACTGGTAACTTGCGAGCCCCTAAGAGCCTCACTTTGTAATAATCTAAAAAGACAGAGTTGATCTCCATTTTATTTGCGGTGCATTATACTAAGATGCATTTAATGGTCTTGTTTGTATGCTTCCCAACCAATCCTTTTGAACTGACACACACAGACATACACGCGCGCGCGCGTTTTAAAAATTGTCACAATTTTAACAGAATAGAGTGTGACTAAAAAACTCACTCTTAAAATAGGGTGGAAACATTCTCCCACACAGCTCAAACTGTTTGCTTTGGTGGTCAACCCAAGCCAGTAAACAACCCAAAGCACAAGTTCAGCCTTTTCATGAGCCAAATTCATCAATTTAAGACCAAAAATACACGTTCATTTGCTGACACTATTTAGACAGCTTGTGTAACAACATTCGACTCAGCTGGGTAGATTGGCTAGATGTGTTATAGTATCTTTGGTGCAGAAGATTTGAGATTAAAATAGGATTTTAAATTAAAACAACTAGCTGATGCAGCTTTGTAGAACAACTTAAAAAAAAAAATCCCCAAGCTGCAGACATACAAATGAAATATTTGCATGGCCCGCTCTCTGCTTTGGTCGCCCTACATCAATAACACTTAACAAGCACAGGAGTTTGCCTGAAAGAAAGCACACTTAAGTTTCCTTAGAAAGGCAAACTGAAAAACAACTTAATTTTCCCAAATGTCATAAAAGTGTTTATAAAATTCTTTCACCTTGGATCCACACACCTAGTAAGTTGACCTTATCTCTCTGTGAAACCCATGAATATCTACTGCAGTAAGAAAGGAGACGGTGAGGACTGACTATTGGAATGGAATATGTCAAGCCCACAGTAGGCACTAAATAATGGCAACTATTATTATCAAGTTCAGCAAACACTCCCTGAACAGAAACGTGAGAGATGGCAGGGAAAAGCAGAAAATTCACTGCGCTTGGCAGAGGTCACAGTGGAGTGCAGGGGCTGAGAGCCTGCCCTTACAGACCTTTCTGGGAGACAGAGATTCTGCCCAGATGCCACTGAGAGGCCAAAGTGAAACTGGGCGTAGCCAACCTAATGACCCCAGACCATCTTTCATGACTGAGAGCGCTCTAGGCTATACAGAGGGGAGCCCTGTCAGCTGCTGTCCCTGAGGCTTGAGACCCTTCCGTGGGCCATTGCCTGCATATCATCCTGGGAACATCTGAGCGGACTCCTGTCCCAAAATTTTGCCAAGCCCCATCCAAATTGGTAAACTGCCCCTTCTCCCGTTGCTTTTCAAAAATCATTGGACATTCATTCATAACCTTCCCTAAAGAGAGGGTGAGGGGCCTTACATTGAGAGAGGGGGGGATGCATTTGGAAGACAAGCCCTGTCACCTGTATTTGGCCGGTAAATGGTCAAGACAATCTTGCCAGTAATCATGAGATTCGGCTTTAGCAGATCCGCCTCTGCTGACCTCTGTTACTGGGCAAGAACTTGGCTGTTCTGAGCTGTCTTTCCTCATCTGAAAATACTATTTCCTTCTAGTTCTTACTTTGTCTGAATTGAAAATGATCCATTTTAATTACTTTCATTTTACCACATTGACCATGTAATTAATAAACATGTTTCGTAGCCGCACTTCTTTAAAAAAAAAAAAAAGATTTTATTTATTTTTAGAGAGAAGAGAAAGAGGGAGAAAAAAGGATAGAGAAGCAGCAATGCATGGTCGCCTCTTTCATGCCCCTCACTGGGGACCTGGCCTTCAACCCAGGCATGTGCCCTGACTGGGAATCAAACCAGTGACCCTGCAGTTCACAGGCTGGCACTCAATCCACTGAGCCACACCGGCCAGGGCACAGGTGCACTTCTTTAAAAGGTGTCATCCCTTTGTAAATTAGCCTTATTCTACAGAATTTAATTGTAGCTACTTTATTCTAACAATGAAAGTTTCAAGTTTAAAAAGTAGTGAGTTCAGTTCTTGGGAAACTAAACTTTGTACATAATTTAGTATGTCATTTGCATTGCATAAAATGAATGCAGCAAGAAATGAAAAGAAAAATCAAATTCTTGAAACCAGAACATGTTTTACACGTACTGTCCCAGAATAGTTCACATCTGCTTTCTGGTTTTTCTCTTGAAAACCTGTTTGTTATTAGTTTCATCCCACACGCAAGCTTCAGATGTCCCCCACCCAGGCTCCTGAGGTCTTGAACATGTGACCCTGGCTCTCAGTCTCTTCATCGATAAGGTAAGCAGGTGGAACAAGATATTTAAAATCCTTTCTAGACTTTTAAGTCCCAATTGTGATCCATTTTCAGTTGCACTGTGTAGCAGCCAAAATCAACATAAAACCGAAAAAGCATTATCCAAGTTACTATATCTATTCATGAGTCAGGGTAAATGCCAAATACCTCTCCTTGATTTGAAGTCCACCAGATTGTCAGAGAGCTCCCCACTCTATGCACCTTATTTCCATGTGCTGAGCTCACTTCTTAGCTTACTAATGCCTGCCCAGTGACTGCGTCTCGTTCACGTTTCTGTCTTCGGAGCCTGCAGAAATGCCTACTCAATGGCCCATGCCCACTTGATGACTTTCGCCCACTCAGCCCCAAGCGCCTGGTACTTGCAATAGTTTATGTCATCCTACACCTTAAAGAATAGTCCATGGTCACTCCTAGAGTGTCAGTGAAGATGGCAGATTCCAAGGACCCAAGCTAGACTTAATTAGAATTTCTGGGGGTGAGGCCACGACGTGTTCTCTCAACAAGCGTCCCTGGTGATTTTAAGCACAATAGCTTGAAATTCATTAATCCTTCATAGACTTCGTTAGAGATTTTTTTTTAAGGAAAAAAAGGGTGTTTTATTTATTTATTTTTTTAAAACGGGAGTATAAAAGTAAAAAAAAAAAAGGTGGGATGGGGAGGAAGGGTCGTTCAATGCTCTACCGAGGAACCTGGCATCGCTAGTGCGGTCAACCTATCTTGGCCAAGTAAGAACTCCTGGAGAGTAAAGGAAGTCGCCGGGGGGCGGGGCCCGACGTCCCAGGAGACCGTCCAAGGGTCGGAAGTCGGCCACCGAGGCCGTGGCCCTGGCCCTCGGGGCGCCAAGAAAACTTTCGCAACAATCTGACTCAAGGCTCTACCGCACGCTACAGCATAGAGTCCCCAGGCACTCTCTTGCCCCGTCACCCTTGGCAACGGCAGCCAGCCCCTGCAAGACGTCGTGGCGCGAAAAGGCGGGACTTCCTGGCCCTGGAAGCCAATACGCACACAGAGGCGGGGCCGGCCACGAAGCACTTCCTGTTGCGTGATCTTAAGGTCCAATAAAAGTGCATGACTCCAGGGTCACGTGCCTCTGTTCCCATTAGCAACCGGAGGCTTCTAAACAACCCGCCCACCCTCCCCATCCGCTACGGTCCAACCTCCCTCGGCTGCCCCGGGTTGAACGGGGCTCCGCCAGGCCTCCACCTCTCCCGAAGGCTGCTGACTCCCGCCCGCCGCCATGGTGAGTAGCCGGCCCGCTGGCGCCCCACCGCGCCGGGGACTGGGCACTGGCCGGGGCTGGAGACCTACAGCGGGGCCCCGGAGTGATGGCGTGACTTGCAGCGGTTTTGAGCCCGACCCTGGGCCTCCCTGAGGAGGGGGGCCGCGCCGAGTGCGGAGGCTCAGTTAACCTCGGCCGAAGCCCTTCTGGGATAGTCCTAGGTGAAGAAGCCCTCCTCTAACAACTCGCTCCGCCGCATCGCGATAGTACTCGCCTCTGGCTGGGATGCCAGGGCCAGGTCACACCTCGCGGGCAATAGTTGAATGAGCTGGGGAACCCGGCTGCTAGCAGAAGGCTAAGGGCGGGATTCTCATTTGCTTCCAAAAACGCCAAGTTTGTACACACACACTGCTCCCACCGTCCCGCACCCCGCCCCGCCCCACCCCCGCCCCGCTTTGGTAACATAAGCGATAATGTGCTAACAAGCCGAGGAGGGAGAACGTGATTAAATCCAGCCTCCTGATGCGAGAGCGACTTTACGAACCCAAGCCCACCGTTTTACTGCTGAGGGAACTTGGGTGACATTTCTTTTGTCCTGCTCTGTTGAAAAGAGGCCCCGTTCTCCGGTATGCTAAAACGATACTGAGAATATTGCACAGTACTAAAGTGTTCAGAAAAAGGGAAGAAACCAGAGTTGGGGGCCGCACTGAAATGGGATCCTGAAATACCTCAGCAACCAGAATTCCTAACTTAGCCCGCACTGTAATCCAAGCACGCTCTTGCAGCTGATGATACAGCTGTGAGCACCGCAGACCATTCCCGGCCCTTCTTGATCTTAGAGCCTGTCCCACGCCTTCTCTTGATTTCAATAAAATATCGAGGTCAAGTTGAAAAATCGATAATGGTGATGCCACATGCGCATCCCCAAAAAGACACCTGCTTCCATTCTGTCTTCTGTCATTGCTTTCTGTCAATTTGCTTAACAACTGAGGCTCAGTTTCTTCATTAGTAAATAGAAGATATAACAATAATTCAGGTTGTTAAAATGATAAATGGGCTAATGCATATAAAATAAATAGCTCAGGACCTGTTAAAATATTAAGCATTCAATATATGTTAGATTTTATTAGAGTGTGCTCGTTTTTATCATTGCACTTTCTTACACTTCTCATCTTAAAATTGTACATGGATTTTTTGAGACTAGTCAAGAACAAGGAACCATTTCTGGTACCTTCGCCCCTCCTACCCTCCCTTTATGGCACAGGTTAAAGACATTGGCTTGGCAATGCTCTGGTATGTTTTTTAGCTTATTTTAATTATTATTTTAATAAAATATTTCTGCAACAAAACTCTAACATTCTGACTTCCCTATTTGGGTATTTCTTATTTCTAAATATTTTAGAGCTGATCATCATATCTACCTCTCATTTAACAACTGGCAAAACTGGTATCAACAAGGTCAAGTGGCTTGGTCACAAATAATTGCATAGCTAGACTTAAACTTGGCGTTTAATCCAGTGCTTTGTCTACTTGTGTCACATGCCAACCTATGTCTTTTTCTCTAATGATTTGATTCATGTACATGTAGTGAACATGTATGCATACGGGGAAGTAAAGGTTTGTGAATGGCATTTCCTGTTCCTCCCTGAATTCCGCTGCCCATTCTGCTCCCTCTCTTTATGCCCATCCATTTGAAAGGAACGTTGTCTTTTGTCTTAAAGTTCGTCCTTCTCAGTTTGAGTAATTTTTTTCTTCTTAGTCTTAGGACAGTCTTAACTCTGCTTGACAGGACAGAATATAGTTAACAGAGATGAACAGGCCACTTAACTCTGCACATGGCACCATACTAGGCGCACTATAATATCTTAGGTAGTTCTTAAATTATTAAACTTTCACATCTCAAATTTTAGAAATAATTTAAAACAGTGTTGGGGGTAAGACAAAGACTTGGTGGAGCTGTTCATCCACAGCTGGGGACACACATCTGTAGGTCAGCATCTTGGACTTGAGAGTCATAGGCACATAGGTAACCTTGAAACCTTGAGATAGATAATGTCATCAGGGAGAGGATACGGAAAGAGAAGAGCAAAGGTCCCAGGGCAGGGCCCTGTGAAATCTAGACATCTAAGAGACAAGCCCAAGAAGATGAGCCTACAGATGAGATCAAGAAGGAAAGGTGGGGTTAGCAGCCAAGGAAAGGAGCAGAGCAGCTGAGAACAAGGCATCAGCCATGGAGCTGGATTTGTATAATAATTAAGAGGCTGCTGGTGAGCTTTACAAAAGCAGCTTGAGTAGCACACAGGTTTAAGGACTAGAGGGTAGATTGGGGATAGCAGGAGTAGAAGAGAAGTAGAGAAAAGCAGCGGCAACTAGAGGGAACCTCAGGTTTTGTTTTTTAGCGTGAATGAGGTGTAGATGCATAGTCTTCCCTATAGTCTAGGGAAGAAGAAACCAACAGAGTGTTGACAGGGGGGAACAGCTGGTTAAATAAAGTCCCTGAGGAATTTGAAAGCGAACCATTGAGGCCTCAGGAAGGAATGACCGTCAAAGGGGATAATACTCCATGCAGTCATTTAAGGATGCGTGTCCTTTTCATCTTACTGCTCCCCCGGCCCTTGGGGCATTGGTTGGGCACATGTCGGCTGAGTGCCAGGCGCCACGGGAGTGCTGGGTATGCCTCGGAATCAGATGGGCAGGGTCCTGGCTCCTGTTGACTTATGCACTAAGGAAATCGAGCGCGCCAGGAAGAGGCACGGGTGTGTGTGAATACAGAAAAGCCAGGGTGAGGCTTCGGGAGGGGTGGTGAAGGAGACCATGCCCGGTGACCGTGGTGTTGGCCGCTGCAACATTGGAGGCAGCCCCGTGTGCTGAGAGTGACGGGCGAGCCTGAAAAAGGTTCAGAAGTGAGACCTTTGCCTCCCATAAGAAGGCTATGATAGTTTCAGTTATTCTTAAAATACAAATAATCCTGACTCATGTAGTCCCCTACGTAAGATGTTCAGTTTTTTAATTTTCTTCTTTAATTTTCAGTATAGCTATGAAATGAAAAGAATTTCATTACCCTCTAGCTCATAGTTGTCAGGCTGTCATCTGGCTTAAAAGCAAGACCAATGAATGGCTATGTCAAAACCAAATCTATTTTTTTAAAGCTGTGTTAGAGAGGGTATGGTTGAGGTGCTGTAACAGAGGTCCAAAAAACAGCGGCTTAAAGAATGTAGAGGTTTATTTCCGCCTCTCAGGTAACAGCCGTGTCTCTGCTCATCTCAGGTGAGTGGGTCGGAGCCCCTCCATGAAGTCGTTTAGACATGCGGGTCCCTCTCATCTTGCTGCACCCCCAGCCCCTAGGGGATGGTTGCTGTCTGCATGGTTCAACCTGGTCACCACCTCCTCCCCAGGTCAGAGAAACAGATGTGACACAGGCCCAGCCTCTGTCTTAAGGCCCAGGCTTTGGAAGGAGCCCTCGGGTCTTCTGCTGACATCCATGGCTGGGAAGCAGTCACGTGGGCACACCCGACTGCCAGGAGGGCTGGGAAGGGCCCCCGGCGGGGCAGCCGGGCAGCCGCGGGCCTGGGAAGACGGGAGGACTGAACTGAGTGGACAGCGAGCAGCGCCCCGCGGTGTGCCCTTTCTGTCCTCACTGTCGGGTCCTTGGTCACAGCTTCAAGGCTCACAAGAAAGTTACTTCTCTCTCTTTCAGGCAGAGTTGGGCCTAAATGAGCACCATCAAAATGAAGTTATTAATTATATGCGTTTCGCTCGTTCAAGAAGAGGCTTGAGACTCAAAACTGTGGATTCCTGCTTCCAGGACCTGAAGGAGAGCAGGTATCAGAAGACTGGAAGGAAACCCAGGGGGAACCAGGGTCCCTCCAGGCAGCCCGCGCGGCGCCGCCGCAGCTGAGCCACACAGACCTTTGCTGGGATTACTGGGGCCGGTTGGTCACTGAGAGCAGCTGCGCGGCCTTGGGGGCTGCGGGACCCAAGTCAAGTCGCAGAGGGCGCAGCCTCGTATCAAACGTACGCCCAGCTGAGGGGCTGCGAGGCTTCAGAGGGCAGCCAGGGAATCGTGAGGCGCTTGTGGATTAGCGATCGGCTTGTGTTAAAGATACCAGAACTTTAATTACCTGGGTTACTAATTAAGAGATTAGAGCCATAAGATATGACAATTTGCAAGAAAACACCTATGCAGTTCATATTGAAGAATTGGGAGCCGGGAAGACAGACTATAGAAAATTTATGTTTGATCTGGAGAATAGGGAAACCAAAGAAGAAGACAATAAAAAAAAGACCTCAGATCACTTTGGAATGAGGCTGTGGCACACTGAAATGTCAGGGCCTCCGAACGGGCTGCACCTGTCATACGGCCGTAAGCTTCCCTGGGTAGCAGAGACCTATAGCTGTCAACCTTACCTGTTCCATTCATTAACCTGATCTGGCCATCCGGGTCCCCACCCCCAGCAGAGCCGAGCAGCAGTTGTGTGTTGAGATAGTGGGACAGCCAGTGAGGGCACATCGTTACCCACTTTGTGTGCCTTCACGGCTCTTCTGAGAATGAACCCAGGTTGCCAAAAAAAAGAGCCGATTGTTTTAAAGCAGACCCGATGTGTTCTGTTAAAGAACAAGAAAGATTGTGAATATATTTAGGTAAGAGTTCAAGTTTTGGTTTTTTCAAAGTGTTTAAACTGTGCAGCCTAAATGAGACATTAAAGAATGGTAAATCAAATAATATGAACTTGAGTATAACTGTGATTAGACTTGGGTGCAATCCCGCCAATAGGTCCCTTTGGAAGTGAGGGAGAAGGTAGACCTGGGTCGGGGGCGTTGCTCTTCTGAGCGTTGGCTGGATGGGGACTTGGCAGGTGGAGGCGGGGAGAGGAGAGGCCCGTTGAAAGGAGGAGGTGTGCCCAGAAGCTTTCTGCAGCATTCAGCTGTGGGGCGTGTTCTTGAGCGAGCAGGACACGATTGTGGGGTTGTCACCTGCAGTTGGACCGTGGGCATGTCATCTCCACCTTCTGAGCCTGTGTTCCTGTCTGTAAAGTGAGGGAATTGAAGACATTGGCCCCAAAGTTCCCTCCCAGCCCAGACACTAGGAGGGAGATGGATTTTTAATGCTGCCGTAGATGATGATGTTTGCTGCTATGCAGTGGTCGGTGGTCCATGGAGCTTTAACTAAGAGAAGTTAGGTTTGGAGTGGATATTTATGGGTTTTTGAACCTTAAGACTGCTAGGAGAAGCAATATATAATTACATTGATTTTATCAGAGGCATTTACTACCATGTGAACAGTTCACATGAAATGCTAGACAAAAATAGAAAGGAGAAATTCCATCTTCCAAGTGAATTTTGAAATTATTGTGATAAGAGGATATTTCAGTGGGGAATAAAAAAGATTTTTAAACTGGAAAATTAAAGAAAAAAAGTGAATAGTTTGGGGGAAATGTCTCTGAGCTTATACTTGCATTAAAGGATGTCCACACTTGAAAAATGAGCCACAATTTAATCGTTTAAATGGTCATCAGAATTTAATTTGGCTTAAATTATTTCAGTCTTCTTTATTAATAAAGAGTATAGTTCCCAGAGAGATTGTCACAGTGACCCCGTCAGGCCCTAGATGTCACGGCGTGGCTGTCGCAGTCCTGTCCTGTGAACGGTCTCGTTGTTGACGCGGACGTTTCGGATGGCTGCGTTTCAGGCTGGTGGAGGAGACGTTCACCGCTGACGAGGTGTCGGAAGTCCTGCGCGGGCTGCAGGCTGTGGTCCACAGCGAGGTGGAGTCTGAGCTCATCAACAGCACCCACACCAACGTGCTACTGCTGCGGCAGCTGTTCACGCAGGCGGAGAAGTGGTACCTCAAGCTCCAGACAGATATCTGTGAACTCGAAAACAGGTAACAAAGTGCGTGCCTGCGACTCGGGCAGGAGCGGCCCAAGCGCGCTCTTCAAAGTTGCTGAACATCTTCACTGCTGCTGTCCTTGGGGCTGGGGCAGCAGCAAAGCTTTGGGTCCTGAGGGATCTCTCAGGGGCCACTCCATGTCCTTGTCAAAATTCTCTGTTCCTACTGTTTCTGGATATTATAAGGGCATTTGGGGCTTACCAAATTGCTTTTCAGGCTGTTACTAACTATTCCTTACAGTACCTTTGTTAGCCTGAGTAGTATTAAAATAAGTTTTTAGAGATCGGTTGACTAGGAAAGTATGAAACATTTGAAAAACTAATTCCAATACCATCACTTCACACTAGTAATATTGGAAGTTTACTTCTAAATAATTACATTATAAATTACACATTTATCTTTAAAATAGGAAATGTAAAAAAAAAATTTATAATCCAAACAAAATCAAAGCATGCATCAATTTAAAAAAATATGGTAAAATCAGCAAAATTGAAACCCATTCTAAGAAAAGTCATGCGGCAGACCAGGACCGACCGACCTCTGAACTCGGGGAGCGCTTCCGGGAGCCAGTGCGGCCCGGGGCATCTGTGGGCACTGCTGGCCAGCGCGGGCCCAGGCTCCTTTGCAGGCGGAGGCCGCAGCCGGGCCATCACCTGGGCCACCTGTCTCTCTGGAGACTCTACCGTACTTTTTCAGTAGGTGTCCTGAGTTTCCATTGTTCCATTTTTGCGAGGCCACTCTTAAAATCAGACTGCCTCTCTTGAATGTCTGCTAGCTAACGACATGTGTCATATGACAGAGCAGCCTCCCCACAGCACCTCAGAAATCCAGGGCTGACTGCAGGGTCCCCACGCCCGCCCTCACTGCAGCACAGCGATTGCATCGCACACCGAGGCGGGGACCCCAGTGCTGTGGGCGATTCATAGCCGAGGCCATGTGTTTGGACTCTCGACCGTCAGTAACTAAATAGAGTTTTTGACGGGGTGACGTGTTCATCTTGCTCTGTTCTCTCTGGCATGTGATAGATTGGTGCAGTGATTTTATTCTGTGTGTGTGATTTTATTTAAAATGTATTTTAAGTAAATATTTTTTTATATCTGCTTTTACCTTCAAGAGAATTACTGGAACAAGTTGCAGAATTTGAAAAAGCAGAATTTACATCTTCCAATAGAAAGGTAATTTCTGGCCATTTTAAGTCCGTATCTTAACAGCCAGCGTTTAAAATCCCTGAGTTACACAGAGCGTTCCGAGGGGAGAGTGGGAGCTTTCACGGAAAAGCATCTGATTTAAGAGCAGAATTGAAAAACTGTCTCAGGTTTTCAGGCAAAATAAGAAAAGCTTTGTAAATAACTGGAAAACTTTTTGTCTTCTCTCTCTCTCACACACACACGCACACGCACTCTCCCCCACCGCCCCCACCCCACCTCGCTGTCCCCTGGCTCCTGGCCGTATTAACTCCCCTCCCGTGCCGTGGAGCGTGGGTGTGGGGCTGGCCACGCCGGCTGTGCACCCTGGCCCTGGCCCTCCCGAGCCGCGTGACCTCGAGCACTTTGTCTGAGATGGTGGAGCCCCGCTTTCCTCATCGGTCCTGTGGAGACTGCTACCAGCCACGTCTCTTTATGGTCATTCTCACCATTGGCAGGGCCCACCTGCCATTGCCCCATAAACACCCCCGCGTCGGGCAGGAAGTGCTGCGGAGGAGAGCCCACGGACACATACACACACACTCTCTCTCTCTCTCTCTCTCTCTCTCTCCAGTTACCCCTCAGACCGCGTTTCTGGCTAAGACATTTCTGGGTCCGAGGGACTGCGTTCTTCTGTCTTTTGTGCACGTTCGTGCCACGTTATTCTTCATCTGTAGTGTAGTCGCCGGGATCCCCATCACTATGACAGTTTTTCCCGGAGCCTGGGTCCGTGCAGAAGGGTGTTCTGCTCCCACCGTTTCAAATCCAGTCCTGAGATGTTAGGGGTTGTGCCTGCTCTGGTTTTGAGCACCTTCCCTCCTTCTTGTCTTCCCCCGCTCTCTTTCCATCTGTATATATATTTTTTAAAGCTAGGAGGAGGATGGGCTTCGTTTCTGTGTCTGATTTGTATTGGGCGCTGGGACACAGCAGAGAACCACCCCAAGGAGAACCCCCCCCCATGGAGCTGGCTCCCCAGTGGGTGTGTCTGCGCGGCGTCCCCACGCGGAAAGAGCGGGCGCTGGACGGTGGCGCAGGGCTTGCCCCGTGGGGCTTCCAGCTTGGTGTCTGTGTTTCACTTCAGCCCGTCGTGAACAACGTGAAGCCGAAACTCGCTCCACTTAACGAAGGCGGGACAGCAGAACTCCTGAACAAGGTGACGCCGCCATCGTTCTGGGACACGCGGGCCCTCCGCTCTGTCCCCTTGTTCCCGCCCAACTCCGGAGTGGAGAAGCTGGGGAGGGGGGCTTGGTCCTGGCTCTGGGCCCCTGAGGGTGGTTAGTCCCGGTCGGATGTTTTACTTGGTGGTGCCCAGTGGGCCAGAAGAGAGGATGCTTACCTTTCAGAAAGTCTGAAGGCGCTCTTTTTAGAAAATATATTTTTTTATTACAGTTGACATTCAATATTATTTTATATTAGTTTCAGGTGTATAGCATAGTGGTTAGACGTCTCTGTAACTTACAGAGTGACCCCCCCGGATAATCCTAATATCCACCTGGCATTGTATGTAGTTACCCCACTATTACTGAATATATTCCCTATGTTGCCCTTCACATCCCCACGGCAGCAGCTCTTGATGACATCTTTTCATGGCAAAGTGAAGAGCAGAGAACTTTGGACATCATTTTTTTTTGTTTAATATTTTATCTATTTATCCCCAGAGAGAGGGGAAAGGAGAAAGAAAGAGAGGGAAGGAAACCTCAATGTGTGGTTGCCTCTCACTCACTCCCCACTGGGGACCTGGCCCTCAACCCAGGCATGTGCCCTGACTGGGAACTGAACTGGCAACCCCTTACTTCACAATCCGGTGACGAGTCCGCTGAGCCACACCAGCCAGGGCTGGACATCATTTATTGATGGGCATTTGCAGTTTATAACTTGTCACAACAGTGAAGGGATTTTTATTTAGAAGTTTATAAAAAGTTAATTACCAATATACAAATAAATATTTTTCATGACCTGTATTGTCAGCATTATGCTAGGTTTTGTTAGATGAAAAGCAGTATAATACATGGACTTTGGCCCTCAAAACCCTTAGAGTCTCACTGAGAAGGGAGAACTAATACTCTGGAAACAGAGTTAGGAAAATGCTCGTGTGTTGCCCCAGGTGCCACAGGTGGCAGGGGAGACACAGTCCTGGGTGGCGGGGCAGCTGAGGACAGACCGTTGGGTAAGGCAGTGTCCGAGCTGGGCTGAAGAGTAAAGACAGATTAAGGGTCAGAGGGAGGAGATGGGGACCCGGCCGGCGGGGGCAGAGCGGCAGTCGTCAGAGGCAGCGGGTAGGCTGGCACGAGCGGAACCGGGCAGCCCTCTGGGACTGGGCCGCTGTGTGTGCCGGAGCGTGGTAGCAATAAGAGAGCCCGACAGGTGACTCCAGGGAGAGAGGTGCTTACGAGCAAAGGCTTTTGGCTTCAGCTTAGTCAGAACCATCCAGGGCTCAAGCGCAGCTGCTGGGATAGTGCCGATTGTGTTTCAGGACAGTGGCAGCGGGGTGTGGTGTGGGCTGAGAGTGGAGCCAAGAGTTCCAGGATCAGCTGGGTGAGCGAGGGCAGACTTTGGAAAAAGGCTGAGAGTGGAGGGCTGAAGGAAGTCGGAGACCGTGAGGGAAGGGGTTGGGAGTCCGAGAGCCAAAGGGGACCCGCAGGCGCCGAGGCCGGTGGGCGGGGTAAAAGTGGGCTGTCACCGGTAACCGGGACATGCAGGTCTTTTATCTATTAGGTAATTTTAATTTAATTTAAAAATCAAATTTTCAAATGAAACAAGTGATTTCAAAACCTTGGGCTAAAATAATAAAATTTGAATTTATTCACAAAGGAAATTTTAAGACTTCAAGATGAAAATGAAAAACTGAAGTCAAGGCTGAAGACCCTTGAAATACAGGTAACTGAGAAATACTTTCACAAACTTCTTGAAAGAGCTACTTAGAGGCTAAATCCTGAACAGGTTCTGTTTAAACCTCATTGCAGGCTACGGCCACGCTGCAGGAGAAGTCAAAGCTGGAAAACGCACTGCACAGCCTGCAGCTCGAGCATGGAAACCAAAAGGTGACAAAGTGTTAGCTGTCTCCTTCACACTTGCTAGGTAGAGCTGCCAATTTAACATTACTCTCTAGTTGCTGCTCCTTGTGCCCTGCCACCCCGCAGTTGCTGTCGCTGCTGTGCTGCGACGTCCTTGTCCGGGGAGGCCACCTAAGAACCAGCGCCCGTCCCTCTGTCCATCCTTCAGGGCCAGGGATAGGTCACATCTCCCATGGCCTGGGAGCTCATTGGCATGCAAGAGATTTTTAAATATATTTTTAAAAAGTTTTCCACCTTTCATTTTGACATTCTTGTTAGAATGGGAAAAAAGGAAGAAAGGGAGAGTTTTTTTAGTTAATTGTATTTGCGTGTGGATTTAGTCATACCAAATTTATTACTTAGTTTGCTTTCAGCGCAAAATGATAAAATAGAGCCAACTTTCCTGTTACAAAGCTTCAGCTCCGACCACTTGTAGTGGCACTTGCGCAACACAGTGAAGTGCAGGCTCACCGGAGCACGACGGCGCTTGGGCACCGGACCTCGTCGCGCGCAGCTCTGCTCCTGCGGCCTGCGGCCTGCCCAGCGAGGCCGGCCGCTGCCTGGGCCTCGCATCAGCGCGGCCCTCTGAGGGAATTTTCAGTGCAGCACTGGCTTTTCTTCTGCTGGTATTGTCATTAGAAACGTCTACCGGACAATCCCAAGACCTGCTTCTTTAGGCTTATGTTACCCCCTCTCTATGGAACATTTCAAATACGTACAAAAGTAGAGAAAAGCGTATACGTACCCCCAGCTTTTCCAATCATGGGCATGGCCAGTCTGATTGCATATTTACCTCCGCTTCTCTCCTCTACCCCTGGTTTTTTTGAAGCAAATCTCAGACTTGACTGTAGGTATCTTTTAAATAGGATAGTACTTTTATGGCTAAAAAAAAAAATGGGAAAATACATAGGAGTTTTGATCATTATATGCCAAGGAACACAGATTTATAAAACAGAGCAAAATACTCCAGAACAGCTTTGTAATTTCCCAGAAGTAAAACAGTTACAAACATTTTTAGGTGATGAATTTGCTTGAAAAGCCTTTTGTACTTCACTCCAATTTTGCTTTTAAGATTTTGGCAAAAACAAAATGCATACGTGCCTTCACTACCTGCAAGGAAACAAAATCTTTTTAAAGACCTGATGAAAAATGAGTAAGGAATTTTTCTTTTGCTGATACTACTGCTGCTTCTTCATACTTAGCAGCTACAGACCAGTTTCCTGTCTTATAATAATACAACTTTTTCTTTCTGTTTTAAATTTTTTTTAGTCAAAAACAAGATCCAGGTAGAGGATCCAGCTGCTGTATTATGCTGACGAACTATGCAAACGTGCATATGTGTTAATATAAAAACTTAAATCTGGTAAACTTGCAAACCATAAAATCAGTAAGCATTAATTAGGCTCTCATGTTTTATTGTAAATAATGATAAAGATAAATTTTTGATAGAGATGTACTAATTTTCTTCTTCATGTGTATCATTTAAATTTCTTCACCAGGATTTTTTTTAACTTCACTTTTCAAAAGAAAGCCCATTTGCCATCCCAACTCTGAGATGCACAGCCTTGTCGGATTTAGGGTCTCAGCTTTCTCCTGTTTTTCTTTGAATCCCAGCCGTTCATAAGTCATAGTTTAAGTGTTTGGAAGTCGGTGGCCCTGTGCTCCGGCCCATGCAGGTCACCGTGCACGGAGGGCCGAAGGTGAGCCGGGCGTGCTGGCAGCCCCAGGAGCAGGGGCGTGCCGAGCTGGGGCGTGCCCGGCCGGGGAGGGCGGCCGGCTTCCCCTGCCTGCGTCCCCTGCCTGCGTCCCCTGCGACAGGGAATCGCCATGTAACACAGCCACTGCTTAGGATGTCCACATGAACTCATGACCACGTGTGATTTCTCACAGGATTTCACAAAGGCCCAGGACTTGAGTGACTTGGAAAACACAGTTGCTGCTTTAAAGAGCGAGTTTCAGAAGACACTGAATGACAAGACCAAAAACCAGAAGTCCCTGGAGGAGAGTCTCGCGACAGCCAAGCACGACCTGCTCCGGGTTCAGGAGCAGCTGAGCATGGCTGAGAAGGTCAGGTCCATCTGCAAATGTCCAGTCGGGCGGTGGACGCAGTGAGAGGAACGGGTGCGGCTACGGGCGGGGTGGGGCAGCTGCGGGGTGCTGTTTTTTCTCAAGGTGTTAACCAAGGTCTGTTCGAAGGTTGACTGCTTCTGGGCACTGAGATTCTGCCACCTTTGGCACTAAATGTCCATGATAATGAAAATCTGCACTCCTTCCTGTGGTGTGGTAGGAGATTCTTCCACAGCGGCTGCCCTCCTTGCCCGTCCCTCCAGCCCGGCAGCGGGATGGTGGCTTCTATTTTTAAAGGATTCTATGTAGTGGATGGGGTACTTCACTTTAGGGATTAGACACTTAAGAATCTGGGAGCAAAGATGTAAGTAATTTAAAAGTCCCCCTAAAATATTGACGCTGCTTTGGGATTTGGAAAAAGGTCATGCTTATTACACCTGAAGATTAGTTTACTGTCTCAAATAGATTTCCCATGTGTAGGGCATAGTATGTTTGAGTTACTTGCTAACATTATATTTGGAGACATATTACTATTTAACTGGCTTCTCATTTGAAAGAATGTATTTTTAGAGTTTGGATACTCTTAGTTTTATATGTTTTATAAAAGAAATTACAAAATAATATAAGCAGAATATCAGTAAAATTAGAGCAAAAAATACACATTTTCATCAGATTTATTAATTCTTTCCTTACCTATTTCTTAGTATTGGAAATTTTTCCCTGCAGGAATTAGAGAAGAAATTCCAACAAACAGCAGCTTATCGAAACATGAAAGAGATGCTAACCAAGAAGAATGACCAAATTAAAGACCTGAGGAAGCGACTGGCAAAGTAAGCGGTGCTGATCTGTCAGCCTCTCAGCTCTGCCTCCAGCTGGGCTGGCATCTGTTCTTCATTAATTTGAAGCTTGTGTCCAGAGAGGGCAGGCCGGTGGGTGGTTGCTCACTCATTTAGCTCGGAAGCCTGCCTTCGAGGACAGCTGTTTGGCCTGTCCCCGTCTGTAGCGCCCGCCGGGATTTTTAGGTTCCACTAGACCTGTTTACTCACACACGACTGCAGCAGGCCACGCACGGCAGGGGGTTCTGGTCGTGGGGTATCGCCCGGGAAAACAGCCGGCCCGCAGGGCGGCATTGGGCACTTCTCCTCCGTGGCGCCCTTGCAGCGTCCGGGGCCTGGCCGTACTGAGCCTCAGTGACAGTCCAGGTGCAGGAGAGTGAGATGCACGCAGGAGCGTGCCAGAGCCAGCACGCCAAGGGGTCCGCGCTCCCACGGAACCAGGGCCTCTTGTCTGGCGGCCCTGTTCCCCAGGCAGGGACAGGCGTGGTGACTGGAGCTCACCGCACAGAGGGAGGCCCAGAGTCGGGGCTCCCACCACGTATTGGCTCGGCCAAAAAGCCCATTACATCTCTTACATAAAATAAAAGACACATTTTTCATTCTCGCCAGTAACTTTATTGATTTGTATATTTTAAGTATGTCATCTCTCTCCTGCTATTGGCTTCTAGTGGGTAGAGGCCAGGGGTGCTGCTAAACATCTCCCAATGCCTAAGGCAGCTCCACAGTAACAGAGTATTTGGCCAGAATGTCAATGGTACCAGGGAACTTTGCAAAACACTTTTTTTCCTCTCTAAATGCAGTTTTAATCCTTATTTTAAGCTAAGTACGATAATTTAATACAATAAGCTAAATACGCACAAAGCCTATATACCCTGATCTAGTAGTTTCCATAGACGCATATGGTTTTAGTCAAGTTCACATTTCCACAATGAACAAGCACTAACGAATGTTCATCAAACACCACCCAAATGCTTATCCTGCCATCAGCTTTTTAAGCAGTGCCATTCCTATTACTGAAAAATTTATTTTTATTTAGAAAGGAAATCTAACCTGGGAAAATGAGTTCCCTTAAAACTTGACAAATAGTATATTATAAGCCCAAAGGCTTTAAATGAAAAAGCCTTCAACACAGAAGTATTTGTGAAACTTAGCTTCTGCCTCCCCAAAATCCCTCTCTTTAACAAACGGAAAGGATATTAAAAGAAATTATTACCTTAAGACAGATAACAGTACTATAAAAGACTACTTTCTCCTATCGTTTTCTCCTTAAAAGAAACACAAACCATTTCACTATCTTTTACTAGCCACTCAGACTACTGTGGTCTGAAAACTTGAGAGTTTTAGCTGTCATGTCTTAGCTATCATAAAGTGAACGGTGCCATTTAAACCCTGCACATTAAATAGCATAGCCTACAATGGACAGATACACCTAATACACAAACACTGCTTCATTGTTTAGACAATCAAAAGTCAGAAGGTTCTGCATGGTTTGCAAGGTCCTTCAACTTATTGTGGTCATTAAAACCCAATAGGTAATTCAGGCACCATAGTGTCATGGCAGGCAGTTAAAGGCTCAGCTATCACTCCGAAGTTAAAGACATGAAAATAAAAGTGGGAAATTCTGTGCTTCATCTTTCACTTACATGGCTAGTTGTCAGGACCTTACTATGTAAAACATACGGGTGTTAGTTGTTTTTTGTTTTTTTTAAGATTTTATTTTATTTTTTAGAGGGGAAGGGAGGGAGAAAGGGGGAGAAACATCAGTGTGTGGTTTACTTTTGTGCGCCCCCTACCGGGGACCTGGCCCGCAACCCAGGCATGTGCCCTGACTGGAAATTGAATTGGTGGCCCTTTGGTTCACAGGCCGGTGCTCCCTCTACGGAGCCACATCAGCCAGGTCCATACAGGTTATTTTCATGTACAGTCTCCCCAGAAGGTAATGAAGCTTCAGAAAGCACTAAAGTTGCCAACATCCATAGTTTGCTTCATCAGATGCTTTTCTAGCTCATTGCAGTTCTTCATTCTTAGTAACCAAGTCTTCAGCAAATTTCCTTGGATCCTTTCGTGTCAAGAAGACGATAACTTGTACCTGCCCTTGTCTTCCAGTTGACACTGCCTTGTGAGTCATTCCAGTGAAGAACTCTGTGACAGGTCTTCCAGAATATCCACCAATTCAGCATAAGGATTCTGGTCATCCCCAAACTATACTTCACACATCGTGACTCTTTAGGGAAAAGTCTCTTACTTTTACCCTGTCTACCTTCTGCGCCGCCTCTAGTTTCTTCATTTTCTTCCTCAAAAGTGGGGTCCTCTTCCTTGTCCACCACCCCAACAGCCAGCCTACAGACCCCACCAGCTGCAGAACACTTTTGACATGTTTGATCATTCACAGCACCTTCTCCATACACTGCACAAATCTCTATTGCATTTCAGTTGCATTTTTACCTTTCTTGAAACACTAAAGCATAATATGCCCAAAATGTTGCATATTTTCTTCCATCTTCAATATTAAAATGGCCACACAAAAATTCACCAATTTTGGTAGTTTTTTTTTTTTTTTTTTTTAATGCACAGCCGATATGACAGCTGTCACAATACAATCTAACAAAATTGTTTCGAATGAAGTTCAAGGCAACTAAGTGCTACTGCAGCTGTGTACAGAAGAAACATAATGGACTTTTTGGCCAGCCCAGGACTTCAAGTTTGCCCACAGTCCTCCTGGTCCAGGGGGAGTCTACTCATCAAGGTCATTTTTGTCATCAGCGGTTTCTTCTGGAAATGGCTGACATTTTACCTTCATTAGGGTTTCAGGGAAACAGCTAGGAGGTGAATCCAAGATCAGATTTGCCCTTTGAGAAGGGGGCTTGTTAACCTTTCCTCACACAGCAGTATCAGCTAGTGGTGCTGATCTGGCCTTTTAGGCAATTACTGAAATTCTACTGTGCTGTCGTGGCTCTAACTGCCAGGTATAGAGGCTTGAGTCTGAGGGTATCTTAGCAGCTAAGGGGCCCACCCTCCCTGCTTCAGAAATCCCCTCTGATTCGCCGTCACGCTTTATATACATCCGACGGCTGCCACAGCCGTGACTGAAAGGGGAACGTATGTCCCTGGTTTAGTCACTGGGAGATGTTTTTAAGTAAACCTGCTTGGAAACAATGACAACAACAAAAAGTATCATGATATTTTGCTCTTAATTTATATCTCTTTCCAGATATGAACCTGAAGACTAGAGACTGAGAAGATTGCCTGTGAAACTGCCACACACAACCTGAACGTACACACTAATCCTCACCTCAGGCATGTATTCTGAAGCAGTTTGTCATAGTCCCTGTCTCTATTTTTCTAATGTTTAGACTTTGCTTCTACTATTTAAAACTACAGTGCCTGTTTTCAGTTGTCTGAGAAGAGAGAAAACCCACTAACCCTGGTCAGTTGTCCCAAACTCCTCTCCGTCGAACGCTCCAGAGTTATCATTCAAATGTGCCGAGAATTCTTTACAGTAGAGGAGAGATTTTTAGAGTGGGAAGAACAGTCTTATCCTTTATTAGTATAAAGAGTACACCTCTTTAATAAATATTAAAGCCAGCAGTATCCATACTTGTGCATTCCCCAGGGTAAATATAAATATAGTGTTATGAAGGATAGTTATTATGAATAAAACTTATTTTTAAAAATGAAACCTAATTCATTTTCTCTGTTTGATCATCAAATATATGAATGCTTTGGAAATGTAAATACCATCTATTATAGGCAAGATTTTTAACACTTTCGATGAAAATCAACAGTGAACGTGAGAGTTTAACTTCTTTGGTCTAAGTGCTGTGTTTACCAGTGGAGCTGCAGACACTCTTTGCAGCATAACTTTTAAGGGGCCTGGTGGAGTAGTCAAGTACACCCTGTACTTCAACAGTTGAGAAAGTACTTGGGTTCAGAATAAATGCACAGTACTTCCCCCTTAGCCACGGTTTCGCTCTCCATGGTTTTAGTTACCAGTAGTCAACTTTCGTCTGAAAATACTAAATAGAAAACTCCAGAAAGAAACAATTCCTAAGTTTTCAATTACACGCCATTCTGCATAGCATGAGGAACTCCTACACGGTCCCACAGCGCCCCGCCGGGGACGTGGGTCAGTCCGTTGGCCCGCGATACCCGGCTGTGTGCGCTCCCGGCCCATACTCAGCGATCCGATCGGCTGTCGCAGGATCGCGGTGCTTGTGTTCAAGTCACCCTTGTTGTACTTAATAATTAGTCCCCAAGTGTAAGAGTGGGGATGCTGGCAGTTCGGATGTGCCAAAGAGAGGCTGTAGCGTGGTTCCTGTAAGAGAATAGGTGTGTGTGTGCAAGAGAAAAACAATAGATACCGGACGCGGTCCTGTCCGCAGCTTCAGGCATCACCAGGGCCTTGGGACAGATCTCCACAGATACGGGGAGTCGGCTGTCATCTTTATTCAGTTTCCTGAATATTTTTTAAATTACATGTTAAAAATACTTAAAAAGACTTCTATTCAACATAAAATCAGTTATCAGACCTCACGTTCAACATCTGATTATAGTTTACTTGTATGCATCTATAGTAACTGCATTTTCCAGAGGTTTTGATTATACTGTTTCCATTTGTCCTGCTTTTTCTTGAGTGATTTTGAATAACTCATTAGAAATTAGGCATCATATCTGCAGTCATGCAATGCAACGGCATACACTTTTAAGGACAGTAAGATCAAGTCCTTAAAGCAGTAACGCCTCCGAGGGAAGGCACTTACTTGTAACACATTATTAGGAAGTAATTACTGTCCCCACTTGTGAAAGCAGAGTGTCACACCCTGAATGAACACCACCTACCAAGAGAGGTGATTCCTCTTCCACAAAGGAAGATTTTATTCACCAAGGACAGTGTGCTGACCAGAGCATAAGGCTTGTTATTATTTTTATTTAATCTTTTAATACCAGCCTTGAATGTGTTGTTTTCCTTGTAGGCTTCATGTTAAAATATTGAAGGAACAAATGATAGAGGGAGAGAGAACCCCCACAGGCATACAGAAAGCGGCCTTTAAAAGGTGACTCCATCAGAGGAGGGAGGGGAAGACAGCTAAGCCGGCCTTGCCCGCCTATCCCTCCCCCACCCCCTCACCGTTCTGGTCACTCACCAGTCTCTGGGTCCCGTTGGGGCCGCCAGTCTCCCTTCACGCTTCTTCATCCCAAGATCAGGACTTTGTAAAAACCTGGTCCATTAGGTGTGGCATTTTGTTTAACTCCGAACCAGAACTCTTGATGAAATGGCTGGTGTATGCTTCAGAGACCACCTAATCAGTTTCTCCCTGCCGCTCCTTAGTTTGATGCCCACAGGGAAGGAAGACATGTTGAGAAATTTGAAGTGCTAAGTAGAATTCAACGTGGCTTTTTTTTTTTTGGTAGGGACTGAAATATTCTGTATAGTGTGTTCCAGTTCAATAATTATTTCAAAAGTATTTCTAAACCTTAAACCCTAACTATGTCCCACATTAAGATAGACAAATGTGACATTCTTTGACATAAATCAACATGATGATTTTTCACATATAAATTCTTTTTTTATGCTCTGGTTTTGTTTGTGCATGTGTGTGTTTGTTAACTCATACACCTAGCAAAATGCAATTGTAAATTTCTATTTTTTGAATATTTACCTAGTTTTAGGATTTATCTCATTTAACCAAGAAAGCCAGCCTTTTTAGTCCGTGTATTTTGGGTTTCTAGGGACAGCGTCGCAAGCCTTGGTTGAACACTCAGTGTGTCCTTAGCTGCATGGGTGGCTAAGTGTTGGTGACTGTTGTAACGCAGCTTTGGCTGAACTTAAAAATTCAAGGCTACTGCTAAATTATGACTGGGACCTTTTGTTGACAAAAATAGAATGTAAGGGGTTTGTTATTAATTTCTTCTGTTCAATTTACATGTTCTGAGTAATATATTACATTTTGATTGTATATTAAATAAATGTTTATGATCATTTGTTCACGTCTTATACAACTCTTTATAAGGAAACTATTTCTCTATATTGAATCTGTAATCCTGGTTGATAAAGCCTTTGCTATTATTTCCATCCTGGTGAAAGGGAAAGGGTTTATAGAGATGTTTATATTTTTAAATGCTTGCTGCTTTTAGATATAGTGGATTGCAAAAATTTGGCTTTAGTTTTCTTCTGGGTATAAGTGCTTATATTCTAAAGCTTTGCCATAAGAAATTCAAGACACGGTTTCACTCATGTAAGCCGTTCTTTCAGAAGCAAAAGTCATCTCAGGGAAATATTATTTAGTATTTAGGCAGTAGTATTTAAACCAAACAGTTCACAACAGTACATAGAAAAAAAGTTTCAGTATTTTACAGTTAAAAAACTATTGATGTTATAACAAAATTGAAATTTGAAAATCCTTCATAATTTTTAAAAGTAACAATGGGCCTACTATCAAATTAATAGCTTATTAAATGGGTTTTCATGAGCCCATTCTTAGAAAAGAAACTTGCAGTCACCACGAGTCAGTCTGGGTCTCCCAGCCGGAAACCATAGCAGACACGCTTGTCTTTTAGGAGAAGGAGACACAGTAAGTCGGCATTTCCGCAAGGCTCCTGACCAAGCCCTCAGGCTCACGTTGCTGAGAAGGGTCTTACTCGGGTTCTCCCAAATGCAGACCTCAGGATAAGGGTGAGGGTGCAGGCAGTTTATCTGGGAAGTGATTCCAGGAAGGCCTGTGGGAGACTGAGGAGTTGAGACAAACTGAGAGTCATCCCGACAGGCAGCGGGGGCTCAGTCCTGCCGGGACCGCCCGAGGCCCTGTGTGAAAAACATCTCCACATCTTCCCACCGCCTGCTCTAAGCTTCCCCCGCAGCCAGCGTTTCTGCTGGTCAGCATTGCTTGCCTACTGAGGTGAGCCAGAGCCTCCCTCCTCTCCGAAGCACTGGAGCCCTGCTTATTTCACGCTTGCCTCACTGTGGTCATGCAAGTTCCCTTCTGTTGTTCCCACATGTCGCCGAGAAGCACCCCTGTGAATCCTGGTCATTCACATGCAGCAGAAGGAGCCTAGACAGAGACCTCACGCCTTTTACAAACATTATCTCAAAACGGACCACAGGTCCAAATGTAAGATGCAGAGCTAAGAACCCCTTAGGAGATGAAGCAGGAGAAAATCTAGGCGACCTCAGGCCCAGCGATGCCTTTTTGATACAACCCCAAAGGCACAATTCCTTAAAGAAAGAATTGAGAGCTGGACTTCATTAAAACGATAAACTTCAGAGACCGAGAAGACAAGCCACAGACTGGGAGAAAATATTTGCAGAAGACACATCTGATAAAAGAATGTTCTCCAAAATATACAAAGAACTCTGAAAACTCACCAGTAAGAAAATAAACAACCTGATTTCAAAATGGGTCACAGATCCTAACTGATACCTCACCCAAAAAGGATCTACAGGTGGCATATAAGTGTCTGAAAAGATGCTCTACATCATGTCAGCAGGGAAACGCAAATTAAAACAATGAGATACCACCGCACACCTATTAGAGCGTCCAAAACCCAGACCACTGACCTCCCACCAGGTGGTGGGAGCAAACATCAATTGCTAACAAGGAGGTAGAGCACCTACCATACAACCCAACAATTGCACTCCTTGGTGTTTACCCAAAGGAGCTGAGAACTTACATCCATGCAAAAGCCTGCACACGGGTGTTTATAGCAGCTGTATTCATAATTGCCAAACTTGGACGCAGCTGAGCTGCCCTTCAGTAGGTGATGGGTAAATAAAACTGTGGTCCCTTCAGTGAAGGGGCTATGATTCAGCACTAAAAAGAAATAAACTATGAAACCATGAAATGCATATTAGTAGGTGAAATAAGCCAATCTTAAAAGGCTACGTACTGCTGTAAGATGCCAACTATGTAACGTTCTGGAAAAGGCCAAATTATAGGGACAGTAACGGTAAAAAGATCGGTGGTTTCCAGGGATTGGGGGGTAGGAGGAGGGATGAAGAGACAGAGCACAGTGGATTTTAGGGCAGAAAACGCTCTGTGTGATGCCCTGATGATGGATACACGTCATTACATTTATCAAAACCCACAGAGTGCACAGTTTATCAAGGGTGAACCCCAAGATAAACTGTGGGCTTTGGGTGATTATGATGTGCCAACATCGGTGCATCAGTGGTCACAAAAGTTCCATTCCGGTGGGAATGTTATCATCTGATGAGGGAGGCGGTGCGTGTGTGGGAACAGAGGAGTATATGGCAACGCTGTACCCTCCACTCAATTTTGCTATGAACCTAAAACTGCTCTAAAATAATAAAGCCCTAAAAACCTCCCGTCCCCCCACTCTGTGCTCATTCCCACAAGCTGTCCTCCCCAGACCCTCTCGTCTTCCACGTTCCACGCTTGGTCCTCCCAGGACCCTCGTCCTCCGTGCGCACCACTCACCCCTGCCGGGAGTCCCCACGTGCTGTAACTGGCTCCCCCGCCCCGTCCACACCAGGCAGGTCGAGCTCGCGGCCTGCAGTGCTGCCCCCCGGGAGATCCCCACCCAGGGCCGCCTCTCAGTGGCCAAGTGGGGTTGGGGAGCAGCCGCGGCCCCTGGGGCACTTGGCCCCAGGCGCTGAGCCGACC